GAAAAAAAAAATCCAGGCTTCTCCTTGAAATACATACATAGACCATTTTGTAGTTGATAAGGAAAAGTGTCACTTTGGATGTATGCCAAATTGGGTCATCTAAACTCTTCGATGTTTTTTTTGCCACTTAGGCTGAGTTTGGAAGGAGTACAAATGCAAATATGTAGAGTGCAAAACCTTATATTTTGTATTATTTTGTATGTATTTATGCTGTACATATTTGCACTTGTACTCTTTCCAAACTGAGCCTTACAGATTCTCTCATATGTGTTGTTACGGGGATTATGAGATCTGCAAGGGCCTTCAAATCCCATAGTTTTCATTTTTTGATTCAATGGTAGCTTGAGATACATGAGTGAATTTCAAGCAGGAATTAGGGGGATCATCCTGAATTCAAATGACAATTTTTCTTAGACATTCAGTGGGCTTGTTATCATTTCACATTGGCACCCCACAGTACATCCCAATTGTACATTGGGAACGTATCCCAATGACAAATAGAAGAGATGTTGTATGTGTTTGGTTCCCTTTATGTTTACTGGGTGGGCATTTATCAGAAAAACGTTTATTTGATAAATACCCACTTTAAATGTTTTTCTTTTTGTTATTTGGTTAAGTTTATTTTGGGCGTTTCAAGAAATGCCCCTTTACACTTCAGCAACAATAAACGTTTTTCCATTTCATGCTGTTTAGTGGGGCGTTTCAAGAAACAGCCATATGGATGTTTCAATGTGACACTTTCATTGTGGTGTATAGGATACATTAGTCAATCCAATGGTCCAAATTACATGTGCTTCAATTTGAAGACCGATTTTCAGATCCAACGGTTAATATATGATATAATCCACATCCAACGGTGGATATATGACACTTTCACTTTGACTCTTTCTCTCTCTCTCTGTCTGTCTTTGTTACCTATAAGGGAATTATGGCTATTAATGTTATTCAAAAGAAAACTGAGCAAAACAACACGGAATTGTTTTATTGCCAATAGCTATCTTCTTTCCAACATTTTATCGGACCACTTTTTTTTTCTTTTGAATAACAGAGATACCATTGGCAAGGTAGATCAATTTGGGCTTGGCTTGGGCCTACCAAAGCCCAAATTCAAGTAAATTTCAAGTCCCAATTTCCTCTCTCTCTCTCTCTCTCTTTGTTACCTATAAGGGAATGATGGCTATTAATGTTATTCAAAATAAAACTAAGCAAAATAACACAATTGTTTTACATTTCTGAAATGTAAAGTTGCCAATATCTATCTTCTTTCCAACATTTTATCGGACCACTTTTTTTTTCTTTTGAATAACAAAGATACAATTGGCAAGGTATATCAATTTGGGCTTGGCTTGAGCCCGCCAAAGCCCAAATTCAAGTAAATTTCAAGTCCCAATTTCCTCTTCTTTTAGTGATATATTGGATGATGTGTTATATCCTTTATTTTGCAAACACACTTATTTCCTACACTAAAACAATAACATTTCCTCTTCTCTCTCTCTCATAAATGACAACAAAATATCAATGTTGAATAATAGTACAGGAATCAAATATCACAATCACGACACTAAAACAATAACATTTCATCTTATGCTTACTTCCCACCTCTACTCATTGAATATAAAGGTACTGAATTACACAAGTGAGTCTGTAACTTTATTAATTAGTTAACTTCCATAAAATAGATCTAAGGCGTGTTATATCTTTACCTAAATGATACCTCAAAATAGATCAATAAATATCTTAAAAAAAGCAAGTTTTATGCTCTTCTTCTGAGAAAAATAATTGAATCACTTATAAAGCCCCCCATCCTCTTATTCTGTCATTTTTACTAACGGACGAAAATAGAATCACTTGCAATCTATAACTCCAATGAACTCAAAGCATAACATAAGCATAATAATAATGGACGAAAATAGAAAATAACCCTAGATCTCAGAGAACATACCCTCTGTTTCGCCTTTGATTGTTTTAGATACGAGAAACTCCCTCCCTGGGATCAAAGAAAACAGAGATAAAAACCAGAGATGTTGCTGAAAGTTAGGAAAAACAAATGTTATGAGAAAACTGAGAGAAAGTAGAGAGAAATCAGAGAGAAGACAGTGAGAAAACAGAGACCTTGCCGGCGGAAACTGCTCCTCCCTCCGGCGAAGACTCCTCTCTCCGATCGTCGCTTGGGTGTTCTCCTCTGAGGCGGTGGAGACTCCTCCCTCTGGTGCTTTAGGACTTAGGTCATCGAAGAGAGGAAGAAAACATATTGGGATGGTAGATCCGGGTTGCACCGGATCACCACCATTGGGTGACACGTCAACAGACACGTAGTATCCATGTCAACACAGCGTTTCATGAAACGCACAGGCGTCTATTTTCACGAAAACCAATAAAAATAAATGCATAAACGTTTTTTTTGTGTTTTTTAATAAACGCACGTACCAAACAGTGGTTTTGAAGCCAATAAATATTTATTGCGCCAAATGCTGATATGGCACTGAGGTGGCACCGTTTTTTCAATAAATGTAACGAAACCAAACATGCTCGTTGTGATCTCGCCACTTTCTGCTATTGAAATGGAAGTTAAGAGATAGGACCCTCTTTGAATACCTCGGATCTATTAAAGAAATACAAGCTGCTCCTTTACTGGAGGATGACTCCAAGAATGTGATTAGCGAGGTAAACAAGCCTATGACTGGGCCTTGGAGGTGCAATGTTTGGAATTTTTTGTTAGACTGCATTTGTTTTCAATACAAACACAAATATGTACGCTACATATTTACCCATTTTTCGGTTCATGAATGCAAACATGATCCATATTTTAAACTATTTTTGCATTCGTCCTGTTTGTTTGAAATAGGTGCAAAGGTGTGGGCCCATCATTAACTACTCCAACTATCTTATGCTCCAATGCTTCAACTTTGATCAAAAAGTTAATTATCAAATGAATACAAATTTGTATCCAAAAAATAGATACAATAATACTTTCTTTTTAAAGTAAAAAAGTGTCAGAAAATGCAATTTTATTTTAATAATCATTACTTTTTTATGTTTTAAAAAAATGCTCACAAATGCGAACTGGGGTGCATAAATACCTTGGTTCAATTTGTATCACAAACAAACGCAGCCTTAGCTTAGTTTAAGAAAAATACGGTCAAAGTGAAGGGAGGGATTTTGATCAAGTCTACTATTGTTGTCGTACCATCTTACTTTATGAATTGTGACCACCTATTCTATTTCTTGGAATTGACTTGCTACCCCTAAGAATAAGGGGTGTTTGGGCTTGAGGAGGATGAAGTTACAGCATACAACTCTTCTCATGAAATTAAAAAAGCACTTTCTCATGGAAAAAGCACAAGTTGTAGGTAAATAGTATTAGAAGTAATAGTGTCTCTTTGATACATTACATCCTATTGGTCAATTAAAGAAGCCGATGCTAGGGGTGCAAATGGATCGGATCATGATCTGATCCTATTTAGTTGAATTTGGATCATCCCTGATTGGATTTTTGGATTAGATCGGATTTCAATCACTCTCTATCCGATCCAATAAGATCCGGTCCAATGTGTTATATATTTATAAATATATAATATATATATATATATGCTATTTATTTATAAATATATTATTTATATTGTATTTTTATAAATTTATTATATTATTTATTTTTTATAAAAATATGTATATATAATGAAAATAATTAAAAAATATTTGTATTTTTTTTTCTTTATTTAAGTTGATATATTTTATTTTTTTCTTTTTGATATTTTATTAATTTTTAAAGAAAACAAATGGAATCAAATCAGATCCGAAGATTCAATAGGATTCGAATTCAGATTGAATCCTATAAAATTCGATCAAATATTTGGATTAAATCGAATCTAACATAAACAATGTCAAGTCAGATTTAAATATACCCTTATTCGAATCCGATCCTATCCCTTTTCATCCCTAACCCATGCAAGTTCAGCCGCGTGGGATACAGTGTTAAGTGTAAGGGAGTAGGTCCGTGGAGGTACTAGGGTGTCAATTGGAAATGGGTAGAGCATAAAGTGTTTGAGGATCCATGGCTGCTGAACCGTCCTCTCACTCGTCTTCAAAATCTCAATGTCAAATGTCAACGAGTGGCAAAACTCATTGACCATTCTTCTGGAATGTGACATGGAAGTCGACTTGACTGAGAGAAATATTTGATCAATCCACGGTTGACACCATTGAAAGAGTTCTGCTACCAATTCGTATAGATGATCTTGAGAACAGATGGATTTACTTTGAGCTTACAAATTATGACCCTGGGTTGATCGGTCATTCTCCCTTTTTTTAAAACATTAGTTCAACTTACAAATTTATTGCAATTGATAAATCAATTTTGTTTGCTTGTAACTTTGCTTTCCCCGGGAGTCTCATGGAGAGCTTTGGAGAGTTAAATTCCAAATGTTTGGTTTGGCGGACCCTTAATCTTAAATGCTTGTCACTGAGAGTCTTGAATTTTGTATGGAGGTGTCTAACTCACACTCTTCCCGTTTGTGCTGAATTAACAAAGTTTAGCAGCAGGAGTGTGGAGGACGTGAAGACTTTTTCTATTGTCCAATAATGCGCTTTGTTTGGTTCGGGTCAAGTGCTGCTATCCCTATAGATTTGAACCTCTATTTGTTTCTCCAACACTGGTTGGGAAAATTGTTGGTCCGTGGATGGTGAAGCTTTACTAACTAAATGCGCTCTGATAATGTGGCATTCATGCCATGGGAAGCAAGGTGTAAAAATATATGGAGGGAGTGGACTTCGGCCCCAATTTGAATATACATACATATTATTTATTTTTTTATTGTTAATAATAATATTTTCATCATATTATTTTTATTTGTTAATGCTATTTAATACTCGATTGCAGTCAAATATAATTCAAATCCATATAAATGGACAAATAAAGATTCGATCCGAATTCGAATATTAACGAATAAAATTTGGGTTGGTATATCCAATTCGATCGGATCCGTTTGCAGTCCTATCTCCAATCAGAGTTGCTTTACTAGCTCTTACAGTTCACATTGCCTTTAGTTTCAACTTTCAACTTCTCCGGTTCTCCCTCCATTCTTCACCCCCTTCTAGTTTATTCAAGCAGGGGCTGCAGTAACCCTGGATTATCTATCGACTCTCTTAGCCCTCTAAAATTATCTGAGGTCAGGGTTCTTCTTTGTCCTCTTAATCCTTCTGCGAGTCTGCGTTTTTAACCCTGTTTCGGATTTCTCTGCCTTCTACTAGTACTACATCACAGCACAGCGCAACTGAGATTTCAACTCTCGTTTAAGGTTTTGTTTTTGTTAATAGTTCCTTTCGGAGTTCTTGTCCCTCGAGACCAGTGCACAGAAGCAACATGGGATACGAAAACGATCTGTAAGCTTTCATATTTCCGAAAATTTTCATGTTTTTTTCCCGTTTCCGTGGGAAGAAAATTTAGGGTTTTTGAGCATCGATTCTTGTTGCAGGTACCGCGACGAAGACGGCGAGCCTTTGATGGACCCGGACATGCCTTCCGATAGGGAACCGTCGCTCGAACCAGAAGACCTCGACGACGACTGGAGGCGGGAGCGATCGCCGACCCCAGTTCATGAGTCCGATTCTGCGTTGAAGGCTAGGCCGAGGAAGAGGCTCATCAAAAAGAGTACCGCGAAGGAGAGTACGCCGGATTTTGAGGTCGAGGATGACTTTCATGCCTTTGCGAGGGATGATTCAGATGATGAACCGTCGGCGCGTAAGAGGAAGGCTTCCGAGGATGGTGGAAGCGGAAAGAAAGAGAAGAAATTGAAGTCTGATCGTAAGCTTGGGAAGGTGTTGAAGTCGGGCTCGAAGGGCGGGAGTGCTAGGAGGTCCAGGGATCATCAGGGAGGAGACCCGGAAATGAAAGAGATGTGGGACACCATTGCCGGGGTAGATTCTGAGGTAAGGGATGACTACAGAACTGCAATTCGGCTAAGTCCACTGGATCCTTTTTTCCCAACTACCAATCCTTTTGTTGCCCCCAATAAAATCAATGCTTTTGCCATCTCTAATGTACTTTGTTTGCTTGTATTTCTTTTTGGATATAATGCGAAACTTTAAGTTGCATCTTGTGAGTTCGCTTTTGTAATTGCTCTAGGATGACCAAGAAGGTGTCAGGAATGTGGATGATGATAACTTCATAGATGATAGTGGTGTGGATCCTGCTGACAGATATGGCGGTGACAATGAACCAGGCTCCCCCGGTGATGCTCCTCAGGTTACAATGGGAGATAATGCATCTCCACTAATGCTTTTTTGGACCTTCCGGAAGTTGTTTCTGTGTTATTTAAGTTGTCCTCATTTAGAGTATAATTGGCGTTACTGAGTTTCCTTCTTACTGTAATCGCTTTTCTACATTATTCTGGCAGGCAGAAGAGGGTGAAGAGGATGATGAAATCAAACAACTCTTCAAGATGGGTAAGAAAAAGAAAAAGAGCGAGAAAAGTGCTGCGGAAATAGCTTTACTAGTTGAACATCTCATGGCCGAACTCGAAGTCACTGCTGAAGAAGATGCAGAACTCAACAGACAGTCTAAGCCTGCTATTAATAAACTCAAGAAGTTGCCTCTTCTGACTGAGGTTCTCTCCAAGTAAGATCATTATCCATTATCTAAATACTCGAGCTCCCCCACCCCCACAAAGAAAAAAGGAAATAAGAAATAAAAATGCTAATTGCTTTGTTATTACTTTGCACACTCTTCTTGCAGGAAGCAACTTCAACAAGAGTTTTTGGACCATGGGGTACTAACACTTCTAAAGAACTGGCTTGAGCCCCTGCCCGATGGAAGCTTGCCTAACATAAATATCCGAACTGCAATATTGAAGATATTGACTGATGTATGTATGGTAGTCTTCCCCGTCTGTTATTGGCATATGTCTATGATTTCATTGTCTGATTAACCTTGATCCTTCATAACATGAGTTGCTTATTTGCTTATGCAGTTTCCTATAGATTTAGATCAATACGATAGGAGGGAACAGCTTAAGAAAAGTGGCCTTGGAAAGGTATGGGTTTTGCCTTATGGAGCAATTATATGCCCCTCCTACATTCTTGATACAGAAAAATAGCTAATGATATACTTTTTCTTACACAGGTCATTATGTTTTTGTCAAGATCTGATGAAGAGACCACTTCTAACAGGAAACTTGCTAAGGATTTAGTGGACAAATGGGTATTTTGAAAAATATGGAAATATATTTTTTTGATCAGTTATAAAATTACATACCTCATACCTTGGATTACCTTTGAAAAAATTCCTGTGGTCTTGTTGTGGAGAGATATATTGCATTGGTTGGGGAGGTTTTATAGCAAGAGGTATGAGTGGCATAATAAGAACAAACCATAACAAACCACCATTCAGTGAGTTCTCCAACTAGAATAGCTGTTGTCCCAATAAGAAATCAGAATAGTTTCTGCTATAGATCATTCAGCACTAGTCTGAACTTGGGAGTATGTTTTGGTTTCTTAGAGGTTGAGACAGATTTCAGGATACCATTTGATGATTTTAATTTGCTATTTATATTTGAAAAAGAGTGCACTAAGTTCACTAACTACTTAAAAATGAATGCAGAGTCGGCCTATATTTAATAAAAGCACACGTTTTGAGGACATGAAAAGCTATGATGATGAGAGAGTTCCCTTCCGGAGGCCTGCAGCAAAAAAGTATTCATCCAATATTTTACACTCTTATGCTTTGTAATTGTTATATTGTTGTTATTACTTTGTCATCTAGAATTGTTCTTTTATTGTTGTCATTTGTAATTTTGTTACATTTTGGATTATTATTCTTTGCAGACCAGTAACCAAAGACACAGGACTGGAATCTAGAGATGACGATCTTGATTTGGCTGAATTTTCACAGTAAGTTGTCATGATAGAATAATGCAAGTTATGATGCTAATGATCTATTGGCTGTTCATGATTGTTTGGGATGCTTCTAATGTATGTATTGATGCTCATTATTCTTTGATTATAATGTAGGGAACCAAAATCTGGTCAATCATCATCTAGGCTGCATGCTTCTAGGCCTGAAGCCCTACCAATGGATTTTGTATTACGTCCCAAATCTAAGATAGACCCAGATGAAGTCAGAGCCCGGAATAAACAAATTGTCTATGATCAGCGCCGACTGAAGGTTTGTTTCTAGTTATGGAAGGATAATATCTCTATGTTAAAATTCATCTCACTTGCAGCTTATACTTAGTTTATTCATGAGAAATGGATTCAACTAATGCATCAATCTTTGACGATAGAAAGAATAATGCCAAGAAATCAACTGCAAAATAAACGGTTTTGAGTAGTCCAAGTTTTAAATAAACTGTTTATTTGTTCTTGATATTTTAAATTAGACTAAGATTTCATACTACTGTATATAAATTTAATGACTAAAAGAAAATGATACAAATGCAAGTCCACATTACAAGTCAAAACATTCTTATAATATAACTTTTTTCGGTATTCTTCTAATATACAGTATTTTTAGTACATTTGTCCATGACTAGATAGGCAAGCATTACTTTGGGAGTTCTCAGGATGGAAGAACTCTCATTTCAGCAGTCGTAGGGGCAGGATACATTTTGATCCGAATGTTGTAACCTGATTTAATGGCTGTGTATAGGGGGACACACGTTGTTTGATTTATGGATGGTAATACATCTGTGCAATTACCTCTATGTGGAAAACTCTCCCTCTGAATGCATAAATATCATACTTTGTCAAAAGATAATTTTCTTTTTACTAGCTTATTGGGGCAAAAAAAGGGTCATCAAATTATAGGAGAGAGTTTATAGTTGTAGGTAAAATTGAGTTAAGAAAGCAGAATTTACCATTTTTGGTTAATTAACAACATTTTCTTCGTAGACTACTTATGCTTGTACGCATAGAAGAACATCTTGGGAAGATTCTGAATGGACCATCAATTTTGGATAATTCATGGCTCATTCAGAGGATAGAGGTGTTCCCTATTACTTCCAGAACATCTCATCTCAATGAGTTGTGCTGAACAATGCAAATGATATGACTATCTAGAACTTAAACCTTTGAGATTCGTATTATGCATATCCCACAAAATCAATACATACAGAAATTCCACAACCCGTTCTTGTTTTTTATTTTTGATATATGATCCTTTTTGGTATTGTCTTTCCCATATATTCCGACAAGGCTAGTTGTTCCTTTCCTTGCAGATGAATAAGAAATTGCAACAGTTGAAAGCTCCAAAGAAGCAGCTTCAAGCAACAAAGCTCAGCGTGGAGGGTCGTGGCATGGTCAAATTCTTTTAGATGTAAGCACCAGTTGCCAGTTGCCAACATGAAGAATTCATTATATGGACGTGGTATGAAACTGCTATTATGCGACAGCTCGGAAAACCCATTGATGGATTGTGTATTGTTTTGCATCCACCGCAGAATCGCTTGTCTTATGGATGGCAGCCTCATATTGTTTAGGGATATACTGAATGAATTGAAAGATTAGAGGGTTAAGCGAAATTCTCTTCTTAAGCTGTTCTGTTTACTCCTGGAAGGAGTAATCAAGCTAGCTGATCCTGCTCAAACTCAAAGGCAGTCAGTCCAAAGTCCCTTGGGAAGTTTGTTCATTTGCCATTACATGATATAAAAGGTTCACACCTGTCAAAGAAAATCGAACTTGTTGGAATACAAAGATACAAAATAATCTCACAACAATGCAGATTGTATGGTACGGGTTTGTTTTACAATGATATGGATGGAGTTTGTACGGGAGGGGAGAGAATCAGAAATCAGAATTACAATAAAGAAGTGCAGCTATGCCATTTTGACATTTTCTATCAAGATTGGGCAGTTGTCTGGCTTGGGCTGGGTTGCTTTAACACGTATGACGTATTAGGTATGACCTATACCCGTGCATTACCAACTCATGTCTCCCCATTTTCTCGATTTGGACTTGCCAACCAAAGCTCGCCACTCGCCACCCGGTCCACCCCTGGTTGAAGGTAAGCTGAACCGCTGACTCGCTAGAAGGCTTTGGATGATGCGTGGTCCCTCACGTGGCCTAGTTATATCTCACCTTGCGCCAGGAATTTTAAGTTTTTTCAGTTTCTTCTTGGCTTCATACGTTCTATTACAATAGTTTGTGTAGTCGGGTTAACTTAAGCTCCCATTGACAAAGTACATTGAGTAAAAACAGTGCACCGAATGGATTTAAGGGGTTTACTCTTTCGGAACTGGTCTTAACACGGTTGCAACAGCGATTGCAGCCGTGCATCATGCAATGAAGGACAAGGGAGATGTTTTTGATGTATGACTGTAATGGCTATTGGGATTATGTATTGGGACAATATGTTTATTTAGTGGGTGTCAGACGATGTGAATGGGTTTGTTTTCTAAAACAAAAACAAATACACCTGCCAGGTCAAGAAAAAAACAATACAGTTTTGCTGATGTCGATGTGCAGCTGATTTTGTTTTAGAAAATAAATTCGCCACATTGTCAAACGCCCCCTTAGGGTGCATTCCTGATTCTACAACATAAATATTTTTCAAATTGTCACATCAGCCAAGAAATGAAAGGAACAAAGTAACAGACAACATGTTCTTGATTTTTGAAGTATTGAACACATATATATATATATTGGAAAAGAAAAAATAAGGTGGCTTTGTTTCAAAAAGAAAAAAAACACTTTAAAATAATCAAAATGATATTTTTAAAATACAAACAAATTTTGTAGTATATAAATTATATAATTTATGCAACATGATATTAAATAACTAGATGAAGTTATATTCTTTAAACTATAAATTCAAGACTAAGTGTTTTGTTTTAGTTTTGAAAACAAAAAACACATATATAACCAAAAACATATTTCACGTGTGATTTGTTTTCAAACCAACTGATTTTATTTTGTTTTTGAAATTCGTAACAAGAAAAACAATTTACGTTGAGAAACACCCTCTAGTGGTATTACCAATCTAACCCTTCCTTACAGAGAAACACTTACGAGTTACGACTGGATCCAATGTTGATTTCTAGATACAATTCATAAACAAACTCACCAAACCAATATAAGAACTGGAAAAGTGTTTCGGTATGCACGATATTCCTTGTTACCTTTTTTGTTTTTTTAGCTAGGGAAGAAAGGATCCCAATCATGTTTCTCCACCGTCCCAAACAAATTATACTTCCAGGTGTACACTTCTGGATAATCTATATCAGAGTTGACCCCATCGCTGATCTCCTTTCTGATTCTATCAACCCTGTCAATCACTCCCTTGATGGTTAAATCAAAGGCATCTTCAGTGGTCTTCAATCTTGACCTTGAATCTGCATATATCAGTCTTGGAATCAACCGTATCACTTCCTCCCTCTTAGCTCTCACCTCCTCATTAGGAATCTGAAGCAGCTTCTCCCTTATGCTGACCCTCCCTTCTTTAACATCATTCTCCGAGATAAATACAGAGTATTTTGTATAATCCTTGGGCAAATGCCACAAATACTGCACGTATGCAGACCCTGGATGGAAGAAGACTGGTATACAGCCAGCCAACATCGAATCAAACGCCGATTTCCGAGAATACGAGTCTCCAGGTGGTTGTAAACAGAAGACAGAGTTCTGGAACATCTTCATCACACTACTTGGGCTGTGGCAACTCTTCCACCCAGCGTCACAATTCAACAACCGGCACTTCCCCTTTGAAGATAGGCATTGGTCGATAATCTTCCCCCGTATCGACCCTGAAAGACTGGGACGTGGGGCACCTACGAAAGAAAACAAGTGACGCCTCTTAACCCTCCTCATCCTGTTCTGCCATTGAAAGACCTCATCATCTCTTTTAGGGTGGAAAAATGTTGGGTAAGGTATCGCGAAATCATTCCTGTGAAGAGGGCTCGATTCAATCACTAACATAGTCATGTTCTTGGCTTCAGGCAAGAACATGAGCTTGTTGCCCCAACCAGAGTCCTCTTCTGTCATCCTCCTGAAGTCCCACGTGGTCCTTCCTGCAAGCAGGAAGTGATCTCGTCCCCCCAAAACCTTCCATTCGGGTCTCTCTGCTAGCCACTTCATAAGAGCAAGAGAAGTGGAATCACGCACCGAGGTATTGTACCGCCAAAGGTAACGGCCAACGTCAAGACCCGCATAGAAGGGTACGAAGATTGCAGAAGCCAAGGACGAATCATTTGTTAAGCACTCGTATTGTTTCATCCTGCTATTGAAGATCACATCCAACGAGAATTGATCCGTGGCATACCAACTCGTGCTGGAGAAGACCCTTCCAGAGTCGGCGAGCTGGGGACCCAGTCCGAAATTTGCCAGGTACTTGCACATGTCAGTCCATAGATTCAGGGACAGACAGTCCCTGAGAATGTCAGCATTGAAACGACCAGGGAGATCGTATACATAAATGTAGCGACCTGAGCACGTATCGGAATCTGCTTTGTCACCCGGCTGATCCACCCTGTCCTCTGCAGAAGATACGTTGCTGGAAGACTTTGCTTCGACATTCTCTATGATCGTTACTCTGCTTACAGCTTGTATTCCAGTACTCTCTTGAGCGATAGATGGTTCCTTAACAGGCTCATCTTCTCTGGAGTGTTCAGACAAATCCACTGTACCGGGTAATTGGACAACAGGTTGTACTCTATCATCCATTAGAAATGGTTGATTTACAGGTTCGACGTGATTGTTGTCTGCAACAAGCAATAGTTTCGAACCTCGGAAGAGGAACGCGTACAGGTACTCGTTCCCGCTACTTCTTAAAGCCGAAGAATTGAAGTAAAATAAGAAGCACCAAAAGACAAAGGCGGTAGAGATGACGAACCATAATGGACTTCGACACCTTAGGACGATCGATTTCTCCATTTGCTCCCGGTGTGGTGATCCGCTCCGTTGATTCTTTGGGAGGTCAAGCCCAACTACATATCTCGCCCCATCAATACATCTATTTATATATATGCCTTAATAATAGAGTTAGAAAGTAGAATAAAACCGAGGTTTTAGAGGGGAGAGATATACCATATATGTATATCTTGGGTAGAGCCAACCGAAGAGTTCAGAATCTTCAGATTAAGAAAAGAAGAGAAAACTAATAGAAAGTGGAAATGTGAGAAAACAATATAAATAGAAGGTTGTCTGAAGTCTGAACCGCAGGCAGAAACTAGGAATAGCCTGTTTTTGCGTGGGGACTAGACTTATGAAGCCACTGAAACTCGAAAAGTAGTTTCAAAGTTTCTTCATTCTGTTGTTTATAAGGACGTGAACGTCTATGTTTATCTCTACATGCATGTTTTAGGCAAACAGTAGAAGTTGGACTGTCCACGTGTAAGTAAAGACAATTGAAGGGGCTGAGCTACTAAATTTTATTTTTCAATTAACCATGCTTGATGATGGGTTGAAGACACGTGATTAGCACATGATAGTATCGTCTTAATTAAGAGATGACAGAGTTTATAGACAATTAACACAAAACAGGATGCATCTATGAAGCTATGAATAGATGATCCTGACCCATATCAAAAATGTACAACTTCATACATAGGATCCGACTTCTGATTTCTGAGTGGAAACAAAGGAAGAGAGCTGGTTGAAGTTTTTAAGGCGCACTCTTTGTAATATTAAGGTGTGACACAGATCATAACTTGTAACTTGAAAGAAGAATATTCTAACTATTTTCTTAAGAAACTTGGAAAAAATTTGCACATGGGCAAACATACTATATATGATACTAATTTTGTCCTCCAAAAATCATTAATTAGGCAACTAATCCTATCATTATGTTGTCCTAATTAGTTCTTAAAAACAAACTCAAGCTTAATCCCACACGTAGCTTCTCGTTTTTTAAACTCGTGGGTTGCTCATCAAGTGTATCTCTGCACCCAATGACCCAATAGATCAGATTAAGAAGTCAACGGATCCTAGGGCTAGAACATGGACGGACGCAATTTTATAGGTTCACGCTAGGTTGCACCAAATTAGACCAGAGAATATCGCAGGTCAACGAATCCTACGGCTGAAACTTGTGAGTTTAAACCTCATTGGGGACCTACCAAATGAAGTCATGAAGACGAGAGGAGGATAGTGAAAGTGATCGTAAATTTTATATTTCCTTGTATTGTGTATGTGCATGCAGATTCTAGCAATGTACGTAAAGTGTAATATACTTGGGAACTAAAACAGGCGCTCGTCGTGGATGAGTGTCTTATTCCTTTATTTTAATGGGGTTGGACTTTCTAAACCATTTCTGTTTCAGATTTATCTCAAAAGAAAGCAATTGGTAAGACCTATGGGCGTTATACAGCTTATATCCATTGTCTGGAGACTCTGGACTCAAATTAAATTCAAATTTTCTTGGCTTAAGAAATGAACAAAAGAGATTGATGGAACGGGGGCAAATAATTGAATGGTATTCATCCAAAAAATATAAATAAAAGAAAAAACAGAAAAGATTCAATGGTCAAGATTAATGGGCTTTGATGGGAAGTGGTTTTAATGTTTTCTATTTCTTTTTCAGGCATGTTGTGTTTCAGGAAAGCGACGGTCATAAACCAGCTCCCATTAGCAGAAAGCTCAAGACGGATTCAATCTGGGCATGCACATACAGCCCTCCAAAGAAAGAAAACAAGAGAGTAATATTTTGATTATTTTCTTCATTTAATAGACATAGCCAAGGTGGCAGATATTCCTCTTATGGCAAGTGAATAAATAATCTAATTTGAGGCTCTTTGACAACTGAGTCGGCTGAATTGAATGGCTTATTACTTTGCCTTTTAGCAAATAATTCAAGAGGTTACAACTCTCTTAATGGCAAAAGCTTCTTAAAGAGTTGAGTTCCACTATGACACTCTATAGAAGCTCTATAACTTAAACTTGGTTTTTATTGGGGTTGAATAGGAAGTTGGTAAGAGTCTCTAGAAAAGGATTTTTATGTGTCTGCCGATTAATAAAACGTGTATGAGGACTATGGAAGTTTAAAAAAAAAAAAAGAATATGGTTCGACGATTGTTTTAGTGTTCAAGTAATTATGAGATATAAGTAAAACAGATGATATTATGTAACTAGTATTTATGTTAAAACAAAAGGTCAAAGAAAAAAATACTAGTTTTATGATTGTAATGGTATTCAATTATGCAATGCTACCAAAATAAAAGATAAAAAGTGCAGAACATGAGTGAGAACTGAGAAGGCCTTCAAACCTGGATCATCCTCCCAAACCATCGCGAGTCCATACTGAGTTGGGTTAGTTATAGTTTTAAATATGAACTAGGAATTATGGAATGTGTAGATGTTCAAAGCTTAATATCATTAGGGAGTTTTCTTTTTTTCTTTTTTGGAGTGGGTTGATACATCATATATCAGTGTCATTTTAACTAAAAAAAATCAATATTCAGAGAACCGGAAAAGGGAAAGGTTCATAGGTCAGAGGTTCGACGAACCGTGATGACATGACATATACATATATGTACTGTGGGTCATATAAATACTATATATAATATATTTTACCACCTTTAATTTTTTTAAATATGGTGGATGGATGGTAAGCTTCTTAATTTTTAAAGCAAATGACTAGGGTTCAAGTCTTTTAACTTACATTTTCTTTAAAATACGTACATAATTATGTAATATATATAATAAATATTCATTAATTAGCATAAGTAAAGAAGTGGATTAGTGGTAATTAAATAATCCGTAAAAATAAAAAGCCTTGGGGTTCAATTTTTGGCAACAACATTTTAAAATTTCACTTATGTATGAACTCGGGTGGTTTCATCATATCGGGATTGGTTCACCAGTTTTCTGGTTAAACCGGCTGATCAGCTAGTTTTCAGTGGGTTTTGAGCAAGTCCGGTTATTGGGGTGTGACCAAACCTGTCAATGCCCTAAGTCACAGTTCGATCGGCCGGTGTTTTCTAAACACTGGAAAAAAAATACATATGTGTGACTAATTATAATTGAAATGGTAAATTTGAGGTTTTAGCTAGAAACAAGAATTTATATTAATTAACTCAAAATATTTTAGGTAGAAAAATCTCTATCACAAGTTTGTATTAATCAACCCAAAATGCAAGTGTAAGGCATCACCACTGTACCAAACAGGCAACAGCCCCTAAAAATAGGAAGTATCACCTCTTCCATTCAGTCAAATGTGAAAATAAATGTAGAAGAGTATTGATACCTTCAATCATGGGGTTGGGTTGATAATTAAATTTGGAGTTTGAGTTGGCCCTTAACCCAAGTAGACCCATTTAATTTAAACCACTACTTTATTAGTGAGAGCCAAGAAGGAAGGGTTAACAATCGAGATTTAAGAAGAGAGCAAGAAGGATTTAATGGAGGGAAGGATTTTGACAGATAGAATTAAGATTAAAAAAGTTATATTATAAAAATAAATAAACCATGTGTGAAGAAATAGAAGAAAGTGACCCATGTGAGTATTGAGGTGAGAGGATTCATCATCTCCCCCTTCACATAATAAAGATATAGATAGATGAAGCTTTAATGCTTTGTTCATGAATGTCTGAAGTTATGAAAACTTTGTTTGTCCACGCTACACAGCCTGTGCTCTTTCTTTGTGACATGTTAATTAGTTCATATAGCCATGCCTTAATTAAGTTTCACATTATCGGGTCATCTCCATTTTTAATGGAAATTAAAGGTCGAGGATTCCTCTTTCTTTGAGGCTATAAATATTAAAGAAGTTGGATTATTTATAAGCATCCACATGGTTCACTTGTCTAGTTTAGAAGGATTAATTCAGGACTTACCATTAAAGGATTCCCAGTTAAGAATTAATGGCCCAAAAATCTCTCTTGTTAGTTTGGAGATAGATGGCTAAAAGGATATACATGCCTAATGTCTTTCAAAACTAGACAATTACTCAATGCAGTCGACGAGAAACTCTTCTTAGAAAAGGTTTGGCATTGTCGTTCATGGCTGCTATATACTGCAGAGATGACCTTTGCAATTAAGCAAATGAAAGCCCTCTTTTTTCGTCCACCTTCATTGTGGTCCTCGACGACCTTGAGTGAGGTTGGATGTCATCTCCATATTTTTTTGTAATTTTATAGTGAGAATGCACCCTGGACTTATAAATGCTTTTAAAAATGCTTATTATGTCTCGTCTGGCTTCTCCCTTATTTTGGCTTTGTCTTTTCCATCCTTTTCCTAATGTTAAACCCCAGTAGGATTAGCGCATTAAATATTCCAGTTGATTGCAAATAAATGGAAGGTTGCATCAATTAAAAATAGCAAAGAAAGAAGTAGCTTCAAGCAACAAATCTCAGCCAAGGGTGTCCTGACATGGTCCAGTTCCTTAAGCAATTATAAGCTGTCACCCCTATATCCCTGTTACCAAACATGACGAATTTTGTCCGCTGGCATGCCTGGCTGCTGAGACGACCAGAATATGGTTTTGACAATCTTTCTTATCTATAGCAATATACACTTCGATTTCTATCATCAATGACAACTCTGTTTTGTTTAGTTAGCACTTTTCAGCTAGTATGGATGGGATTCATTTTTGTATGATGTCATAGTATGTATAAAGACTTGGATAAATGCATAGCAGCCCTGATTACCTGATTTTATTTGAGCATATAACTAATATGGTTCTCTCAAAACTTTGGATTAAATCAAAATTAACCCAATCCAGGATGAAATCGGATTTTTGTCCTCACAGCCCTTGCACCATGCATTGGGAATCTCTTCCCATGAAAAAATCAAAAAACATACAAGTATAGAGATATTTTCAATGCATGGCTGTAAGGGATTATGTGAAGAAAGTTTTATAAGGATGAAATCTAATTTCATCCTAATGTTCTTTTTTTTTTTTTCTTGTTAGTTTGGTTGCTATTATTACTAGTAGAGGTATCAATAACTACACTGTTTGGCCCACGGCCCGAGCCCGCATGGGCCCATATCAGGTTGGTCCGTGGTCCGAGCCTTGGGAGAATTGATAATTTCTGTAATTTAATTCATTTCTATATGCAAGCTTATCAATAGCTACAGTGTTTTTGCTCCAAGTGAGCAGAAAAATTGATTCTGCCTAGTCTATTCTCTCTTTACAACCATGTT